CACAATTTTCGTTATAGTTCCTCTTGCTATTATGGTACCAAGGTTGAAATGACCCTAGTGAACATAATTACCTTATTCTAAACTCAAGCCTTCTCTTCATTAGTACCAGTTCACAAAACGTAAAATAAATACCGCGCCATTCGCATTTGCGCCCAATGTTCCAATGAGTGAGACTTCTGGCTTCCTTTCTATACATCAGTTGATGAGGACCTAGTTTTTTTTAGGAACTTTGTGTCTATTTTGACGGCTTGAAGGCATACTTATAATGGAATTTTTACGATGCTTAACTATTCTCACCTTTACTTTCATTAAGTGCGTAACCCTCATTGGTAATTAGATTATTAATCTTGGAGGAATTGTTGTCGTCTTTTTGGCCTTCTTCGTATTTGAATACCTTGGTTCTGTAAAAGTCATCTGATGATATGTGCAAAAAAGCCGCATAGATTTGCTGTAAACTAGTAATAAATGCATAAAGCTTTGACAGGATTCCGTCCAATTTGTTATTGACTCTGTTCCTTCACAAAGAGTAAGACATTGATTCCACAGAGAGTTCTGATTAATCTACGAATGCATTCGAGCAGACCAAATTTCCTCGACACTGTCCAAGTTATGCTATGTAGCTTCAAAGTAGACTTTGCGAGGCTACTATTTTCCGAGTCAAACCACAAATTGTCCAGATTACTGTAAGGTTGCTCAGGGTCCACCTCCAACTTTATAGGGTCTCAATTACAAGTTTAATATGTCGCTGTGCCCATAGCGAACTCAGCCATAAGCTGTCTTTCTCCTTGTCACAAGCCAAGGGTAAAGACAACCACCATATTCCTTCGGCATTATGAATTATCTGCAGTTGCCAAGACAGCCATTCTCAGACTCATCCATTTATTTGATAAGATCTATCGTGGAATCGTAAATGTAAAACAACAATAGCGAATTTGCTCTTCTTGCAAGAACGATAGCTACTACTCATTCCAGTTTTTTTATTCCGTTGGTTTTTATCTCCTTTTGCCATCTATTAAAATAATTTTTTTAACCTTTCATTTTGTTGTAAGCATTCAAAAATGTTTACTTTAATTCACTTCGTCCTTTTATTGTGATATTTTGAGTGGCATCTTTTTACTTCTTCCAGCCCCTCAGCACAATGTGATCCTTATTCATCAATCTGGCGCTCTTCAGCGTTACTCTCCCACTAATCCAGACAGCAATGGGGTCCACCTCCTACCTCTTAGCGTGGCTACGACACCGCCTACACCGTCCTCGAATCAGCACCATAATTTTATGTTAGCCTTCCTCACTTTACCTCCTTCATTCCATCGAAACACGTATCCTGAGTTGAGTAGGTTGTCCGTCCTTCCAGTAGGCCATCGAGTGGTTGCGGCTGTCTGGGAGTCCGTATACAATGTTGGATTTTTCATGCTTCTTCAGCCAGTTGTCCGCCTGCTTGCCATCACTCCATCTCTTGGCCATGTTGAATCGGTCGACTTAAGCAGACCCAGCTCCATTTCGGATGACGTATTCCCAACAGCACAATCGCACTATTCACGGCGCCGACAAGGCCATTGGACTTCCCATATTTCGACCTCATCCGATGAGGATCTTTGGGAGTCGCGAGTGGGTGACCTGGAGTCGGGTGTCTGGCCGCAGCCGAATACCGATGAAAGAGACCTCGACGACCTCGGCAGGGCACCGAAGGTGGGGATGATGAGTTCGCCCAGGAGCGTGTTGGAAGGTAGACAGGAGGACATATCACGGTTACGTGTTCGACTCGCTTTTATGAACTTACTAACAGGTCGAACTTACCTTCTAGACGATGGACCCGGTAAGTTGAATATATTTACTCGTAATGTTCTTTAATACTACTTTTATATCTTTAATGAAAACATTTTTTCACAAATTATTCTTCTCCAGGATTTAAAGCCGATATCCCAATTAATTTATTAATACTTGTGAACCTATTTCTTTTAAGCTTTGTTGGGCGATAACCTTCAGTTCGCGTTTATGATTCAAGAATACTTAGGCATTATTACTTTGTGTACTGTCATTCTCTAATGTCACTGTAAGTTGTTCTGAGATAGTGGGTCTGATAAGGCTGGCGGAAGTCGGCTAAATTATTGCATACTTATCAGGCTTGTGACCGTAATATGAGATGTATTTACCCTATTTCGTTTAAGGTGACGAAGGACTATTAATAGAATTTTTCTCACAGTGATATGAGTAGAGCCGACGTTTCCATTCAATTTCGCATAGCCTTGCTTTCTCAAAAGTTGTTCTCATCCTGGCTGGAGTGGACTGCAGTTTCGACCTATCACAGGTCTTATCTGCACCTCCAGCGGGAGTCGAACCCACAAACCCACAAACGTTGT